TCTCTCTCTCTCTCTCTCTCTCTCTCACACGCGCGCGCGCGCGCGCACACACATTCATTTGGGCTAAAGACAGGGTCTAGGGATTTGTCAAAAATAATTAATGAAGAAATTTTGATTTTGACAAAATTTGGATGTTTGTTCCAAATTTTTGGAGAAAGTGGGGCTGAAATTAACTAATAATCATTATAAAAAAAAATTAAAACATTTATGAATATAGTCTTATAATAAAATAAATTTATAATTTATAATTTTGTCAATTTATACTTAAATTTTTTTTATTTATTTTGAAAATCACAAATATCATAATCAAGTCACAAAGTTTTGTAATATAAAATACAAAATGCATAACGCCATCACTAATTGACGTAACAAAATTGATTAAAATTATAGAAAATCACAAATGTCGTAACTAATTCCCAAAATTTCGTAACATTAACCAAAAATTATGTAACTATCCACTAATTGGTATAATAAAAACATCTAAAAATTTTAAAAACTACTAATGTCATAACCAACTCACAAAATTTAATAACATCAACTACAAAATGCGTAACTGCACCACTAATTGCCATAATAAAAAATAATCAAAATTTTTACAAATCACAAATGTCATAACCAACCCAAAAAAATTCATAACATCAATCACAAAATAAGTAACAACACAACTAATTGATGTAGCAAAAATATCAACGGCGATGGTGACAACAAATGATCCAAACCAGACCCATATATCTCATCCTCACCTCACCTCACCACACCACACCACACCACACAAACACTCCTAAACTCTCTCATCTTCTTGTGTTCCCCTTCATTTTCTCTCTCTACAAGCCTTTTTGTTTCTCCCACTCACTAAATTTTAATATTTATTTATATATATAAATTTCTATGTTTGTTAACAAGTCCGTTGTAGTCTAGTTGGTTAGGATACTCGGCTCTCACCCGAGAGACCCGGGTTCAAGTCCCGGCAACGGAAATCTCATTTTTTAGCTGTACCTGTTACTCCTTCCCAATTCAATCATTTTTTGCTTGCACCTAACACTCCTTACCAATTCAGATATTTTTTTTCCTTTTCATGTGAGTTCTTTTATTGTGGACAAATTTCACTTTTCTCTCCTGTAATTTAGATCGGGTGTGAATTACCTCATGATATTTGAAAATCACCACATAAGCTCCCACAGTTACTGAATTAAAGTGCACAGTTACAATTTCTGTCAAATATAACCAAAAGTGTAATTCGAGTGTGAATTACCCCATAATATTTGAAAATCACCGCATAATCCCGCAGTTGCTGAATTAAAGTGCACAATTACAATTTGTGTCAAAACTAACCAAAAGTGTGATTCACTCACATCTGTTGAAAGTTGTTATGTATATGAGATTTTTTTAGAACAAAACACCCTAATAAGTCTCTAAAATTACAACCCTACCATTCTACTACCTTTCATGATCTCAGGCGGTTTGGACCGGCGACCCATATACCATGGGGGTGTTTGTTTGAGCTTTTCAAAGCCAACTTATGGCTTTTAGCTTTGAAAAAGTTATTTTGGACTGTTTTAATGGTGATGGTGATGGTGATGGTGATGGTGATGGTGATGGTGATGGTGATGGTGATGGTGATGGTGATGGTGATGGTGATGGTGATGGTGATGGTGATGGTGATGGTGATGGTGATGGTGATGGTGATGGTGATGGTGATGGTGATGGTGATGTTTTTGGTGTTTGGGATGGTGATGGTGATGGTGATGGTGAAAGAGATTAGTAGTGAAGTTGTGGTAGTGGTAGTGTAAATGGAGTGACAGGGGTGAAGGAGAGGTAATGGTAGTAGTAGTGGCAGTAGTGGTAGTGGTGGTAATGAAGTGGTGGCGATAGCAGTAGTAATGGTAGTCGTAGAGGTGAAGTGGCGACAGTGGAAGCAGTGGTGGTGGTGGAATAACGTTTGTAGTAGTGGTGAAGGTAGTAGAGGAGATGGGTGGTGAGAGAGATAAATGAGTGAGGGACAGATAGAGGAAAGAGAGGAGATAGAGAGACAGAGTGATGGGCGAGAGAGAGAGAGAAAGAACGCAAACACAGTGGGAGAGAGAGAGAGAACAACGCAAACAGAGAAAACGAGAGTGAGAGAGTGAACAACGCAAACACAGTGGGAGAGAGAGAGAGAGAGAGTGAGAGACAAAAAAGAGACATAGAGAGAAGAGAGATGAACGAGAGAGATAGAGAGAAGAGAGATGAGCGGGAGAGACATAAAGAGAAGAGAGATGAACGAGAGAGACAGAGAGAAACATAGAGAAGAGAGATGAGCGAAAGAGACAGAGAGAGAAAAGATATGAGAAAAAAGATGAGAGAAGAGATAGATGAGTGAGAGACACAGAGAGAGACAAATAGACAGACAGACAGACAGAGAAGAGTGATGAATGAGAGAGAGAAAGAGAAGAGAGAAAGGAAGGAAGATAAAAAAATGGATGAAAAGATATAGACAGAGAGAGAGAGAGAGAGAAAGAGCGAAAAGAAATAAACGAGAGAGAGAGAGAGACAGAGAGAGATGAGCGAGAGAGATAAAGAGAAGAGAGACAGAGAGAGAAGAGAGATGAGAGAGATAAAGAGAAGAAAGATGGACGACAGACACAGAGAGAAAGAGAGAGAGACAGACAGACAGAGAAGAGTGATGAATGATGAGTGAGAGAGAGAAAGAGAAGAGAGACAGAGACATAGAGAGAAAGAAAGAGACAGACAGACAAAGAAGAGTGATGAGTGAGAGAAAGAGAGATAAGAGAGACAGAGACATAGAGAAAGAGAGAGACAGATAGACAGACAGACAGACAGACAGAGAGGAGCTATGAGTGAGAGAGAGAAAGAGAAGAGAGACAGAGACAGAGAGATAGAAAAATGAAAAAATGGGCGAAAGGAGAAATGTTAAAAAGAGTAAGACGACGTCGTTTTTATTTTATTTTATTTATTTATTTTTTGTAACAGAAAAATACCGTTGCATTTATTTAAACCATTTTATGACTATATATATATGAAGCCGTCTCAAAGCCACAATATATATATATATATTTCTTAAAAATTTTTTTTGCAACGGTACGTATTACGATCGCAAAAAACTTTTTCTTTTTTTTTTCGACTACAACTGGTACCGTCGCAAATATTCTTTTTTTTTGCGACAGCAATTTCTATCATCGTAAATACTCTATTTTTTTGCGACGCCAAGTTGTGTCGTCTCAAAAAGTCACATTTTTTGGCGACGGCAAGTTGTGCCGTCTCAAAAAGTCACATTTTTTTGAGACGGTAAGTTCTGACGTCTCCAAAAGTCACATTTTTTGCGACGATAAGTTGTGACGTCTCAAAAAGTCACATTTTTTAGCGACGGCAAGTTGTGCTGTCTCAAAAAGTCACATTTTTTGAGATGGCAAGTTGTGCCGTCTCTAAAAGTCATATTTTTAGCGACAGCAAGTTGTGCCGTCACAAAAAGTCATTTTTTGCGACGGCAAATGTGACGTCGCAAAAAGTTCCGCCTCATAAGCCCACTTTTCTTGTAGTGTGGTGTGGTTATGAGATATGTGATTAGTGGTTATGAGTAAAGCGGTGTGGTTATGAGCCAAAGAATGTTGGTTATGAGATATGTGATTAGTGGTTATAAGTAAAGTGGTATGGTTATGAGCCAAAGAGTATTGATTATGAGATATATGACTAATGGTTATGAGATATGTGATGTTAATTATGATCAAAGTGGTGTGACTATGAGCCAAAAGGTGTTATGAGATATGTGATTAGTGGTTATGATATATGTAATGTTAGTTATGAGCCAAAAAGTGTTGGTTATAAGATATGTGGGTAATGGTTATGAGATATATTATTATTGTTTATGAGATATGTGATTTTGGTTATGAGCAAAGTGGTGTAGTTATGAGTCAAAAGAGTGTTTGGTTACGAGATATGTGATTATTAGTTATAAGATATGTGATATTGGTTATGATCAAAGTTATGTGGTTATGAGCAAAAGGGTGTTGATTATGAGATATGTAATGTTGGTTATGAGTCAAAGGGGGATTGGTTATAAAATGTGGTTATGAGTTATATGGGTAGTAGTTATGAGATATGTGATTAATGTTATGATCAAAGCGGTGTGATTATGAGCTAAAGGATATTGGTTATGAGATGTAGTTATGAGATATGTGATTGTAGTTATGAAATATATGATATTGGTTATCAACAAAATGGTGCTGGTTATGAGATATGGTTATGAGGTATGTGATGTTAATTATGATAAAAGTGGTGTGACTATGAGCCAAAGGGTGTTATGAGATATGTGATTAGTGGTTATGATATATGTGATGTTAGTTATGAGCCAAAGAGTGTTGGTTATGAGATATGCGGGTAATGGTTATGAGATATATGATTGTTGTTTATGATATATGTGATTTTGGTTATGAGCAAAGTGGTGTAGTTATGAGTCAAAAGAGTGTTTGGTTATGAGATATGTGATTATTAATTATAAGATATGTGATATTGGTTATGATCAAAGTGATGTGGTTATGAGCAAAAGGGTGTTGATTATGAGATATGTAATGTTGGTTATGAGTCAATAGGGGATTGGTTATAAGATGTGGTTATGAGTTATATGGGTAGTAGTTATGAGATATGTGATTAATGTTATGAGATATGTGATATTGGTTACGATCAAAGTGGTGTGATTATGAGCTAAAGAATATTGGTTATGAGATGTAGTTATGAGATATGTGATTGTAGTTATGAAATATATGATATTGGTTATCAACAAAATGGTGATGGTTATGAGATGTGGTTATGAGATATGTGATGAGAGCTCATAACTAAGTTATGATTAATTTGATTCTAGTTATGAACAAATATGATTTTGGCTCATAACTATAAAAAGTGACCTGCTTACCAGGTCACTTTTAATGATGTGGCTCAATCTAAACCATTGATTTTCTATGTACCGTAGACAGTAGTAATTAAAACAGTGTGAATTGTACTATAGATGAACTGAGAATCTGCAAACAAGCATATTACTTTTTAATTGAATCTTTCCAAAACCCACATCCAACAATGTGAATTTCACTTTACAATAGACAGTAGTAATTAAAACAGTTTCACTCAAATTACGAGTCAAATAAGAACACTCAAATGAAGTAGATCTTTCATGATCTCATCGATCAATACATTGAGCAAATACCTCTCCACATCCCTTATAAGGTCGTCTTTTTCAAGAATTGAGAACTTCACCTCATTCCAACCCAAGTCCCACATACTATTCACGTCTGGATCTCTATTTTGGACATCTGTCTCGAGCATTTTGAGCAGGTAGTCCGCAGCATCGTATTCGTCACTTCCATTTCTGCCATGGAATTTTAACTTTTCAAGGTCTTTATACAGCTGCTTCACCAAGTTATCCAAAGACATCGCCTTTGTGGACATGATTGAAATGTTATGAAGTGTGAGCTCCTGTCTTCTTCCTTTTCTTTTCATTATTTCATAGCCACAATCTAAGATGATCTTGCAGTCTTCATCCTGACTATTATAATCAGTGACATCAAGAATGCCGATGGGTATGTTCAGCTTGAACAATGCCTCTGCGGTGTTAAGGAACAGTTGACTTTTGATCAGTATCTGCTTGAGGTGTGTTTCATTATCTGTCAATAGATCTTGCATTCTTGGTGTTGAAAGTTCCTTATGTTCATGTTGTGTAAGGCAAGAGATTTCAATGCTTCCTCCATTAGCTCCTGCAACGTCTAAGATGCGAGCTTTAATTACTAATCTTCTTTATACACATGTTTTAATTCCAATGTTATTATCATCTTTGAGGAAGAAGAGATTTATCAGTGACAAAGAAGGATGTATAAGTTTGGAAAGATCATGTCATGTGCCGGGCTTGTATTTAAATGCGGATTTTTCCATAGGTTCATTATATCAAAATGATTTTGAGGTAGGCTTATTGAGAAAAGCTGTTCTGGCTGTATTTCTTTATTTACATATAGCAAGTACACAGCACTGAAATGATGGCTTAATGTAGTGAAGTAGTATTTTGCTTGAGGGTGAATATATAGTAAGGTCTTGACATTGGGGAGGTTGATGAAATTTCTCATCTTTCTATTTTATGTTGTTTGGTAAAGAATGAACCATTAGTTTGGGAAGATGGAACTTAATTAGAGACAAAAGGTTGTAAATTTGCACTTACCATTAAGTGAACTTGATACAGGTTTCTGAGACTTCAGTTGTTGACCATCGCTGAAAGCAGGTGCTTGGACTGTAGAAAGTTCTGAGGCTGTGTCTTGGCACTGCATGACATCCAAAAAACATATTAAGGGTGCTGCCAACTTTTATAAGTAAAGCAGTTGTTAAACAAAGAATTTGGTGTTGTTTTGGACAACAGCTGAGCTATACTTGACATACTGTGATTTGATTAAAATAGGATAAACTTACACTTTCGTATGAAGTAGGAAAATATGTTATACTTGGGCTTTGGCTCTCGTCTTCCCCAAAACTGTGCAAAGTTGGAGTATGTTCAGCTTCTTTATTCGATGTGAGTGCCCCATTTGGCAATATAATACTTTCTTCTGCTATCTCGGGCCTAAAGCTCCGCACTTCTGCTTCTTTGGATCTGCTGCCACGCATTTGTTCTTCTCCTTTTGAGCCGCTGGTCCTTTCAATCTTTCTCTGTTTCATTTCTTGCAATATCGAAATCTGATGCTTGAGTGGCCTTGCTGAGTTATGGCGAGTTCCATTTCTTCTTGTGATTGCTTCATCTATTTTTCGAGGGGTCTCACTTGTATGCACTTTCATACGGTCTACCTTTCTTCGCATGGCTGAGACGTGGACAGGCTTCTCTTCTGTAACTGGTGGGATGCTTCTTTTTGTGTTGTCTGTTTCAGATCCTAGCTCTCTTGGCAATACATTTTGATCTGAGCTCCCATTTATTGAATTTCTTGTATTGATCTTTAAGTTAGCAGAACTTCCATCTCTGACAAGATCTTCCTGGTTTTTGCCATTTGGCAGCCCTTTCAATAACCTTTCATCAATAAATGCTGTAGAACTTCTTTTATTTTGCACTGTTTGGTTCATGTATTGCTGCTTTCTGTGCAAATCTGTAGCATCATGCATGGGTTTTGATGGATTCTTGGGTTCTGCTTCATTTCCTCTCTGTTTTCTAACCTGGAACTTTTGTTTTACATGTTGCTGCTCTCTCTTTTCTTCTTGGAGCTCAGATTTTTTGAGGACCTGCTTCTGATGCATTCCATGATCATACTGAGGCTTTTGTTGATTGTTTGGAGGAAGCCTGTTTGCATTTCTTTTTTCTTTTTGAAGTGTGCTTTCCTTTCCTCCAATTTTTTCTTGAGACATTTTTGCAGCTTCTAGAGTTCTATGTTTTTGCACATCCTCCTTTAGGACTGGTTGTTTGGTTTCTCCCCTTTCCATGCCTATTTGTTCTTTGTGCTTTGTATTATCCTGTCTTCTCACCCCTTCCTGAAAGTTTTGAACTCCAGTAAATTGATACAACTGGCCTTTATCTCTTTGTTGCTTATCTATAGCAACGCTGGCCTTCCTTGAACCTGATACTGGATTTATTGTATCTTCCCTTCCCAAATCCTTCCAAAGCAATTTTCCGTCAGGAACCATTACCTCATAGTTGGCACTTCGAGTCACCTGTATATCCCGAGGTATTTGTATGTTGGTTTGTATCAGTTTTTTCTCAATGGCTAGAGGTGCCTGATTCTCAATATCTCCAGCCTTTATTTCAGCATTCTTGGTACTTGCATGTGCGATATTCTTCGAAACCATCCCTTCTTTCTGCTTTGAGCTTGATTCTTTCAGTTTACTCTTAGAATCTGCATTTTGTGGTAGTTCTTCCAGACCCATAAGTTTAGCAATTACATTTGAAACTCTCTTCTTCCCAGGTTTGGATTCTGATGAACTCCTGTGATGCTTCGATTCTGTGAACGGTACAAGTCCTCTGAAATCAGGGCTACAACTAGCCGACCTCTTATGGGGCACCAAGTGCGAGGTATTTACAGCTTGTTTTCTGGAAAAATTAGGATCTTCAGTTGGATATGTTAGGGCCTTCAGACTTTGCTTGAAATCGGTCTTTGTAACCTCCTTGATTTTATGAGAATTTCTTGAGGGCTTATCGAAGGAAAACCTCGGCCGATCAACTTGCTTGTTTTCGGCTATTTTGACAGTGTTGTCTTCATCATCTTCATCCTCGTCCAGCAATGTTATTCGGTTCTTTCTCTGAGGGGTGATCGTGTATTCTGAAGCTTCTTGTAGGTTCACAAGCATTCTCAGGGACTCTTCCAAGTCCATGGCCCCTTTCAGTAGTTCCCTCCCGATTTCTATCGAATACTTATCAAAATTAAGGCCATTGGAGCAGGCTCTTAGGATTTGGTTTAATTTCTGCGCCCCTTTTGATATTTCGTTTATTTGGAGACACGAGAGGGTTGGGATCCGGCTTGAAGACTGGTTCACATCAAAGCTGCTTCTTCTTTCCATCTTCCCTAAGTCCAACGATCTCCTACCAATGTGATTTAGAAAACTCAGCATTGAATTATTTCCTGAGGATTCCAATTTAGTGAGTTTTCCTCTATTTTCGAGTGCAAAAGCCAGGGCCATGGACAAATCTCCGATTTGCCCTGCATTTCGGCCTCCTTTGAAAGGAACAAGCTGTTTTGAAGTTTCCTCAAAGTTGAGGGAATTAGACCTTCTCTGTGAGGTTGATGGTCTGGAACCAACCTACCAGGACATGAAATAATAAACAGGTTATAGTTTGCGCTGCTAAACTGTTTGATGGCCGGAATATTCCAGTATGATAAAGAACTTACAGATTCTAGGGCTTTTATTTGTCGAGAACCTTTGTAGTTCTGTGATGGATTTCCATATACATCTGTTGATTTGGGCACATGAGAAATATAACATTAGAATACTTGCATGAATAGAACTCCCATAAAGAAAATTTATCTATTTAGATCCAATTATTAGTCTACACTGTTTAACTAATTCAGTTGTACAAATATCTACAGTGGTGACTTTGTTCATCTTATGAGTTCATTATAACAGTCTTTTTTTATAATGCGGGTTCACAGACAGAGAGCCCTGCTCTAGAATCTCAAACTTATGCTTTAATTTGTTGAGGTCCAGAACCAAAACAATTACAGTTTAGAGACAGAAATCCCAATATGAAAATTCTATGATTGAGGGTATAGTTGGAAACAATGACACATTATTCACAACCACTAGAATGAATTTTCATAGCACCTGGACACTGGTTCACCCTTTATTTATTTATTTTTTTTCCGTATCTTCTATCAAAATATGGTGAAAGTGATGCACATCTGCACGTGAAATGAAGTGCAAAGGAATAACATATATACATACATATGTGTAAAAGACAGATTAACATGTGGAAAGAGTTCTTTCCTTCTCAATTTTCAGTTTCAAATGTCCCTTCTAAACTTTTAGAAAGCAGGTGGACAGCGGGCACTGCTACTTTTGCAATTGCTTGAAGACGTTGAACAAGAATAATGGTGTAGACAAAGGTACGTGCAGTTGTATTAACCTAGGGTTTGCTAACTTCAACAAGAAGTAATCCATCTCGACCCAACTCAAAGGTCCTAAACAGACATACTGAGGAGGAGGAGAATGGTCTATTGGTAGATTTTTTAGTTTTAGCATAAAATCACTGCTAATTCAACATCGGTATTCAATGCAAAAGACTCAGTATTTCATTTTATACTAACCTGCAGCCATCCCAGTTGAATGCCTTGAGCTTTGAGACGATGCAGCCATCCGTTCTTTCCTCATCCGGAGATCGCTCAGCAGCTTCTGCGCAAAGTCTGACCGTGTTGCCATGTTATGCTTTCTCTTGCAACACAATGTCAAAGTGGAAGAAATTTTCAGGCACCAAATGATATCTATCCTATATCATAGTTTTTGTTTGGGATTTTTTTATATATTTTTTTAAACAGACAATATAGTAGAGAAATGGGTTGTTTTTTTTAATGTAGTTGGGAGGGGTCTTTCAGTGTTAGGAAAGGTGGGAAGTCCAGTCAATAGCAATCCGAAGGGGGGTTGAAAATTAAAGATTGGAAGGTTGACGTGAACGTTAGCTCTCCTTCTGTCTGTTTGGAATGGTGTGGTCTTTGTGGGAATTGAGTTTTTCCTGACTTTCATTCTAATCTAAGCAATTACCATAGATTTCAAAGATCTTCTCATTCAAGCCTTGTTTTCACTTTTCCATCCCTTGTGAGTTATTCTTCTTTACCTTTTGATTGTTCGATTCTTGGGGTGAGGTTTGTGGATAGAGAAAGAAAATAGAAGAATATAAAAAAATAAATAAAAAAAATCCATTCACTATTGTTTTTCCATCATAAATTCGTCTTTAAATGAATAACATTGCATAAAATTTGATGTATTTTCACCATAGTGAAAAGAAAAGGAGAAAAGTCATTAGCCGATGTCTAAGCTTGAGTTTTATCTGCGTGATGCAGCTTTCTTTTCTTCTATTTTTCTTGTACCAATTGTTCAAAAAAAAAAAAGAAAAAAAAGAGGAGAAATAAAGGTGAGACTATACTGGAACAATTACAAGAAAGTTATGAGGTGAAACTCTTTTAGAGAAGGTACTTTTTGTTTTTGTTTTTGTTTTTTGTTTTTTGTTTTTTGTCATTGTTGGTGTGTTTGGTAACCCATCATAAAAAGAAAAAATTGGAAAATTACTTTCTAATTAGTTGATATAATAGAGGAATCCAAAAGTTGCATTTCAGCTGCCTGCTTCTAACCTCTCTGTTTTTTTTCTTTTTTTTCTTCTTGGGTTTAAAAAGTAAAAACCAGTTTTCAAAAAGTGATTAAAACAAAAGTCGATCAAAATTCAAAAAGACTTAGGCCGCGTATGGCTTCAATAAATTCTCTGTTTTTAACATGGGTGGAAGGATTGGTAGTAAATGAGAATGTAACAAAAACTTCAACATCTAATGAATTTATTAAATTGACACACTGACATAATAATAATAGTAATAATAATAATAATAATAATAATAAATAAATAAATAAAATTGGAAGCTGTAGTTGGATGGAGTGACGTAAAATTTTTATCTGCAAGTGGAGAGAGGAATCATTTGTTTGTGGACTCTCTCTCTCTCTCTCTCATCTCTTTCTCTGTCTCTGCCTGTTCTTCTCTCAACGCCAAAGAAGGTGCGGAGAATCCATGCATTATTCTTCTACAAGCATGGAGCTCCAAAACAGTGTAGCATACCTGATCAATCATAACTAACTAGTTTTTATTAATAAAAAAAAAATTTATTATCGTTTGATTGGTTACTATTGTGAGTATTCTATTTTTTTTAATTTAGAAAAACGAATGTTGGCACATTTGAAAACACTATTATCTGATGGTTTGGGGGTTTAAATTAGGGTGCAATCCTCCAGGTGGGTTCGGTTGGGTTAGGAGATCGTACATATTTAGCCCAAGTTATATTAAGATCTATCTAGACCCGCCCAAGTCCGAATTGTAACTTGAGATTGCATGACTAAGCTCGGCCCGAGTTAAATCTGAATTGTTCGAGTTATCCGAATTGTATATTTTTTTTCAGCTACATTATTAAATTATTAAAATTTAACTCTATTTACATTTTTTTTATATATAGAAAATTATTAATACCATCAAAACAAATAATTTATATAATAAAAAATATATGCCGCTATAGTAGTTTTTATAATTTATGAGTGAAAATAAAAAAAGAAGAAGTAAGATTTTATATTTTTTGTATATAATATATATTCATTATGATTTAATAATTTAAATTACTTTAATATCATGTAATGATTAATAATTTATATATATATTTAATATTTTTATATATCTATGTATGTATAATTCGGGCTTCGGGTTGCTCGGGTTGTTTGATATCTTTGTCTAAGCACGTCCAAATTTAATTCAGACTTATGAATTTTTATCTAAGTCCGTATTGAATTTGAAAATACGTTATTTAAGCCCTAAAAAAATTTAACCGTTTGGGAACTTACCTTTTTAGTCAAAAAGTTATTAAATTACCTAAAAAACCAACAACTCATACCAAAAAGTCAAAGATTCTCTTTTCTCTCTACTTTTTGCACATCTTTTCGTAATTAGCCAAAAAGTCATCCCAAACATACAAGTTTTTTTAGCTACCTTTTTAGCCAAATAATAAAAAAGTTACTAAATTAGTCTGTTCTCAAACGAGGCCTAAGTTCGGATTACTCAGATTGAATCCACTTAAATTGCACCCTAGTTCAAATATACCACGGGCAAGTTGGGGTGGAAGAGTTTCATTAATCCCTATTCACACTAAAAAATTATCTAACGTTTGGAAATATCAATGTGGCTATGTGGGTGTTTGGGAAGTAGATTTTTTTGTAAGTTTTTTTAGTTCTAAAATATTATTGGAGAAATTTTTTTTTGTGTTTGAAAAGATAGTTGGATTTTTTTGTGGTTAGATATGATATTTGTGAGAGAAAAAGTGAAATGATTATGAGTTTAATGTGATATTTTGTTTGGATTTATTTTTTTTAATTTTGTAAAATATTTGTCTTGTAGTGAAAAAAAAAAAAAAAAAAAAAAAAAAAAAAAAACATAAACTTACAAATATAACCACTCAAGGTGTGTTTGGTTTGTGTTTTAAAATAAATTTTCAAAAAATTTTTTAGGAAGAGTTTAAATTTAGTATACTATCACTTTAAAATTCTTAAAAGACCAAAACCATTTGTCAATAGTTGCAGATTTAAATTTCAAACTCAAGTTTTAAATTTCAATGGAGCTATATGTATTAATTAATATATCAATTAGTATATTAATACATAGTGACAAAGCTAAAAAATTAAATTAGAGGGGACACTTATTAATTACAATATTGAAAATTTTTACAAAAATATTTCTCGCAAGCTTTTACGATTGATTTCGAGAAACATTAAAAAAATAATGTTATTTATAACTAGTGTATCATGAATAATATAAAAAAATATAGATATAAGTCTTAAAATAAATTATATAATGATAAATTATTTTTTCATACAAAATTTGATTAAAAATTCAATATAATGGTAATACCACATTATCATTAGTATGTGATATTACTAACTAATAGTAAATAAAGTGAACCTCACATGTCAAATATAACTAACAATCTAATAAATTTCATATCTATATAGTGAGAATACTTATACTTGCATGTCAATAATAATGACATCACTGTTACATTCAAAAAATTTCATAAATTTTTCATAGATAATATGGTTTATAATAGTCTCTTCATTTTCAATCAAAATAACCATTATTATTTTCATAATTTTTAAAATGTCATTGACATTTCACTCTGATAATATTTTTATAATTTTTTTATTTAAAATATTTTCTTTATATTTGCATAAAAAAAAAAAAAAAAAAGAAGCCCAAAATTCAGGAGGGGGCACGTGACCCCTTTGGTCCTCACTTCTCTCCATCACAGTCAACACATGATATAGCATTGTAATTTTAAAATTATGAATTCTACCCACTATACAAATTGTAAAGACTCAAAACTAATAAAATTATGTCATATCATTTGTTAGTATACTAATTAACATACCAATTAATACATAGGAAAATGTTTGGTAGCTCAAATTTTCGTGGCTCAAATGGCTCAAATCTGTCAAAACGACGTCGTTTTACACTCAAAATCTATTAAAACGACGTCGTTTTGACAGATTTGAGTCATTTGATCCACAAAAATTTGAGCTACCTATCATTGTCGTTAATACATATAACTCTATTCTTTAAATTTAATTTTTAAATTCAATTTGTTTTATGGTATTGTGTTTTTAAAACATGACTTCAATTGGGTGTTTAAAGTGCAGCTTCATAAAATAATAGGGATTGGACAAAACAAGTTTAAAGTCATTTGAATTTAAGAAATTTATTTTAAAAGCAACCTGTTTGGTAAAATTATACTGCTATCTAGGTGCTTCACCTAGAGTACAATGATACGAAGTCGTTAAACAATACTAATGGGCATGAAAATGCATTTATTTTATTTGTTCAATTGTGGTATGAGATCTATAATTTCAACCATAACAGGAAATAAAAAGATATTCCAACTGTGTGAGTGAATTTCTGACAACACTGTCAACTTAGTATTCAGCTGGAGAACATTGGCAGAATAGATAGTGCCTGAATGACCTGTAACAGAAAGAAAAGATTCCAGCGGTGGTTCGTCTACCTGGGGGCACTCCGACGATCAAGTCAGTTATCTCAAAGATAATCAATAGTGCTTAACTCACTATTCAGAACATAAATTGCGTACCTTTAGACCCATCGGGGGCGCCTCTCTTTTATAGCTAATTCAATCCTAGTCCCCATAGAAGCCTAGCTTCAATAGACTTCTGCTCAGTGCTTATCCTGGACTCTCCAAGAAATAAAGATAAACTCCCTAAGATTGTTATCCTTATCCATGCTGAAGTCATTCCTTATTCTAGGACTCTTGTGCCTTATCCGCTTATCCCAGATTCCGATATCTTCGGAGGTAACCTCGGCCTAGCCGAGATAACCTCGGCGTCACGGACAAGACACGTGGTGCCTCGGCTGACACGTTGGCGTCACCTTGGCCACGTGGTGGTACTCAGAAAATATATCCCCATAACTGTCCCCTAGGTTCTATTACCTCGGCACATTCTAAGGTGATGGAACCTATATCAGTACTTGATTCCAGTACGTCGGCTTAAAATCTCGCAGCCGAGATCATTGTAAAGGCCGACATGTCATTTTTAAAGAACAAGAATTCCAAGAGCTCCCTCACGTGTATGAGCTGTCAAGCATAATAACTCAACCGTTTTAGCCACGCATTTTCCCCTTACTGGATCGTACTCAGTACGCGCTT